AGTTCTAGCTTCCTATTTGCTTCTGAGCTTCACTCAAAATGACAGTATAGTCTCCGAAGCCCCAAACAAACACTTTCAAACTAGGTTAACTTAAAGAGTACTTAGTCTGATACCGGTTAAACAAAAGTTCAAATTATTGTCAGAAGACTTGCACTTGGTACAATCCTGGGAGAGTTGATGAATGATATTTTCTGTGGTGACAACATGCTTTTGGACTGCTCTCCCAACTGAAGTTCAACAGGTTCCCTCTTTGTGCATCTTTCACCAGAAATAGAAGGTGCTTCTTATTCCACTGGTTTTCAATATGCAACACATACGTTTTATTGCTGCCAGATTTAATGTATAACATCTTTAACCCTTGTTACTTGTGGTTAGGCTCTTGCTTTCTTGGTTTCGTATTGCTTTTAGACATTGTTTGTTAACTGTGTTTATTATATTATATTACAATCATGTTGTTTGCCTCTCTTGGTAGAAAACCAAAAGATAAATATTAACAACTTAGGCTCAGGTGTCACAGCCATCTCAGCAGGTGGCAGCCACAGAAAAACAGCAACTTTGTGTGGACTATCAGCTACATCAGCAAGCAACAAAGCAGGCATCGGAATCTACTGTCAGGTGTGGGGTTCAGCCAATTTGACTTTTGATATGCCACTGACTAAAGCTGAATCCTGTCTATACCAGCAGATGTCTACAGTTGCTTCACCCCTGACACAGCTTAATGTCAGCACAGGGCAGCTGTCTCCCAGAGGCTACCATGGGCGGATGTGATTGCGGTATGCTATTTGCATTCAAATCATCTGACTATAAGAATGACTAATAGCATGTTTAAGAACAGGACATAAAACCCTTAGCCAGACAGTGCAAGGTGCTACTGTATGTCATTTTTAATAATTACTGTAATCATTTGTCTTTCTTTATCTATATTGAATTCCTTTGATGTAGTGGTCTTGTCTTGAGCAATCTCCAGGTCCACAGTGATAAACAAATGAAGTTGAACAATTAACCCAAATATATTCATTACCTCAATCACACCGACTCTCCTTCCTTATATACACAACACAGCATGGTTAAGCCCTGGTCTCACTCTCTGACAACCCAGTCTTATGCTCTCTCTAACTGCAAGAGGACCAGCAGCTACGAATGAATAGTAATCCATGCAGTACCCTTTGTGTCCAAATACATCTAAGCTACAACAGAAACATGCATCTCATGTTCCCATTACAGCCCTGACTAATGTCAATCTAGTCTCTTATGATAATTTCTAAACTTTAGTAAGTAAACTCAAAAAGGACTGATTAGATACCTCTTAATAGCTGTTGCACTGCACTATTAGAGATCTTGTTCATTTATGAAAAATGAATACACAAGTATGCAACAGACAATTTAAAAACCTCATTCATCAGTCCCAACTATGTTACTGCATCACTGTAGTGCTTCAGAAGCAAAAAGACTGAAGTCAAGGTCATGGAGGCTCAGCCACGTATGATTAAAATACTATAATGCCTCCTGTGTCTGCTACCTAAAGCGATAGCTGGATCAAAGGAACATTTAGCATGCCTTCTCCTCATTTCATTGCTGCATCCTACAATGCCCCTGTATCTCATACACTAAAAGATATCTCCATAGAACAAGAAAAGATATCTTAGTATGAAAGAGAAAGGTGGATGTAGTAACAGTTATCAAAATCTTGAACTTGGCATTCCTGAAATACCAGTACATTTACATCTGGTAGCTACTGGCACATTAAGTTATCTGAATATGTTTATGTCAGAACTTTATGCAGCAAACGTAACTGAAATGTTTCCTGTGTCTAGCTGTGAACAAAAAGTCACCCACATTTTGCTCTGGATATCTCCAGTATTATACTGGTATATACAGAGTAAGTGTGGATAGACCCTTAATTACACATATGACCCAAGAAGTCAAATGCACACACATATAAAACACACACATGCTTTCCTGTTCTCAAAGAATGGTCTCAAACAGTTTCATCACAAAAGCCAAACGTTTTAGGCCTGACTAGATGAGAAGCCATCTGCAGACCCAAGTATACCACTTTGAGCTCCATGGAGGAAGGGTAGGATAGAAGCATAACCAGCAGAAATTCGATTCAATGAGCAAAGGAATGTACAACCTGAGCAATCCTTGCACAGTGTGTTTTCATTCGCAAAAGAGAACAGGAAGCCTTCATATGCAAATGTGGGGGTCATGGCCCACTGTAGTATCATAGTGGCTGGTCACGGGATTCAAAGGAATATATATTTCATTTCATACATCAGAGCCTAGGCATACTTAGTGTCAGGATGCCGATATTACAAATTATAAGAGCACCGAATATGTTCATCAAGTAACTCTAGGTGAAGCCTTAACTTTCTTGATTTCAGGGAGATCAATACTTTACCTCTAGTCTTCACCTAAAACTAGAGTGCACCATTTATTTTTAGACTCGTATTACTGGCAGCGTGTACATCTTTATAATACTGAGAGTCAATAAAACTATCAGTCTATGACCTTCAAGACCTTGAAGCTATCATGAAAGCAGCAATATTTGTCAGCCATGGAATTCAGTGGCATACCACTTGATGAAGTCAACTCAGTAATGACCTGGAAAGTCTATGTTTATAATTAAGCAATAACTATTGTGGGTCAAGTCATTTCCTCTAGATTAATGGCCAGCTACAACATTTGATGGCTCAAGGTAGTGCTTTGGGCTTATTCACCCAGCCATCCATTTCTTCAAACAACTCTATGACTTTATCATTATGGCTATTCTCATTTTAAGAGACAGCAGTGAAAGACTCTTAGAGCGCAACCCTAGCCATGTATGTTCAGAAGTAAGCCCTACTGAATTCATGTTTACACAGAAGTAAGTCCTACTGCTTACTCCCAGGTACATGGGGTTAGGATTGCAGACTAAATTTATTTCCCCATATTTCAATTGCTTTCAGCGCCAGCCATGAAAAAAGGGGATGGGAATTCTGCAATTGTTTGGAAAATAATAACTGCAGATAGAACGGTTAGTAGACAGAGCCTATTGAATTTTTTCTTTTGCTTAAAAAAAATCACACTCTTAATGCACAAAGCAAATGAAAATATTTATCCCCACCCCAGTCCTGTGTCGAAATGAGTGGACAGTCAATTACCCTACCTAATCCTAATCTAGAAACACCCCCAAACACACATAAAATAGGGGATTACTATTAAAGTACCTTTTAATATCATCCAATCTCACTGAATGCTCATTTCTTAGGGGGGAAATATAAACACAGAAACAACAGATGTCTTTATTCTATCTACCGCATATACAATTTCATCAGCAGTCTGACTTTTCCTCTTATCTGAAATGTCTGATTAAGCTGTCAGCAGCATTTAAAACAACTACAGAAACTAAGTTCACCTTAGGTAAGCTTCTTACGCAGTTCGGGGAACACAATTATAAATTATTGGTTAAAGGGGCTTTATAAATTATGTGGTAAAAGTGATTCGCAGCTTAACGAGCAGTTCCTCTTACTAACTGCAGTAACATACGGTGGTGAACTACTACACTTGCATACAAATATACTTCTTTTAAGATGGATTGTCCTTTTTTATATCTTGCTCACAGACATGCAACTCTGAAAGACGTTTTCAACCATCCATCCCAACTTTTGGTAATCTCATGCCGACTATATATAAGATGTAGTTTCTTTCATCAACAAGCTAGAATAAAAACATTATCCACACATCAGCAGATCTCTAGTCATTCACAGCCATAAGATACACGCAGCAGGAGACCAAAGTACAATACTCTACTCAAGTGGCCCCAAACTCCAAACAGTAAAGAGAGGTCACATGTATTTTACAGAAGACAGATGCTGATGCAGCCATTCACAAAAAGGCCCATTCTTCAATTAGCCTTCAGGCTGGCTGATTAGCTGGCAAACTCCTCTGAAAGGGTCAGTTTGTACAAAACTGGTATTTCCACTTTGGAAATTGCTCAGGCATGTCATATACCTGTACCCACAGAATAGAGCTCTTTCAAAGCTTAGACTGAATTCATTGTTAATGCTGGAGACCAGACCATCAGGAGGTTTAAGAGTCAATTGCAGCAGCTTGTAATAAGATTGTTGACTCAAATATATTTTATAGGATGCTTTTTTTTACAGCGAGGATCCTTATATATAGTGACAATATGGGAAGTGAAATAATATGTGATTAAGATCCAATTACTCATACAGTAACTGGCTTTCAAAAAAACCTATGTCCCAATTTGACAAGGCAAAAGGAGTGGACATGTGAAAACAATTTTATGGAGTGGGGCAGGGACTTCTGAAATCTGAAGCCTTCCAGCTCCCATTGCTGATGAGGACTTAAGCTGATGAGGACTTAGATTGTCAAGGATACGAACATTTAAACAAGGTCTCAGAACCTTTTAAAATTACTTTTGACTCACTTTCCGAAAGTCTGACCCCACTTAGGTTCTCCAGCAGCTAAATTCTGTCCTTTGGTATATAGTGGATGGGGGCTGAATGTAATTTTAAAAATGTGTCTCCTCCAGATTTCCCTGATAGCATAGTAGAATGGGAAGGGACCCTGAGGATCATCTAGTCCAACCCACTGCAATGCAGGAATATGGAGCTGTCCAAACCTGCAACCTTGGTATTGTCAGCACCGTGATCTAGCCAACTGAGCTATCCAAGTCAGGACAGTTATTGACCCAAGCAGAGGTGGGGGAAACCAGGAAAGTTTCCCCCAAATCACCTCTCCTCCAGATTCCCCATGGGCCAAAGCTAAAAGTCAGGACAGTTATTGTCTCAAGTTTCCACACTTGCCCTAAGATAGCTTCCTTGGAGCTGCTGATGAAGATCTAAACTCTGGAGGAGGCTGCCTGCACTGGGCTCCACCACGCACCTGCCTTTTGGCCTGGAATTCCCTGAAGCTGACAGGAGGAGTTGGGAAAAGGAAAAGGTGTGTATGGGTGGAGGGGGGGAAAGTTGTTTCTCTTCTTTTCTTTTTGTTACCTGTGTGGGGGAAACCATAGCAGGTGACATGACAGTGGGAGAGTTGGTGCTTCTGTGCCCATTGGCCTCGGGGATGAGGAGTGGCAAGGGGTCGTGTTTCACTGAGACCACCACCACAGACGCCGCCGCCGCCGCCGCGTCCAGGGGCTCGGCCGGCCTCAGGCAGAGTCTTTTGGGGGACGAGGAGGGGCCGCAGGCGTCGCCCCCCGCCGCGGCCCCGCCCCCCGCCGCGTACATCGCCTCATAGAGGGAGCGCTTGGCGGGAACGACGACGGCCGCCGCTTCGGCCTTGACGCCGGCGAGGTCGTCGCCGTCTTTGGGGAGGACGTAGGCGCCGTTGTTGGCGGGGGGCGGCGGCGGCGGGGCGGCGCGGGCCCTGCCGTTGAGGTGGGCGTAGCAGCCCCCTCCGGCGGCGCCCGAGGGCAGCTTGGTGCCGATGCCGGCGATGCTGTTGAGGGTGGCGATGGAGACGGCGCCGATGCAGTGGTTGGTGTAGGTCTTGGAGAGCTTGGCGGCCTTGGAGAGCATCTGCATGCGGGTGCCCAGCAGGTTCTTGCCGATGGCCTTGTTCTCGTACCAGGTGACGTCGCCCTCGCTGCAGTGGTCCCGCGGGCGCTGGAAGAAGGCCTTGCAGAGCGGGTTGCGCTTGGCCAAGTACTTGACGAAGCTGGCGTAGGGGCAGAACTCCGTGCCCGTCTCGTACATGCGCGGCAGGTTCTCCTCGTCGCTGCTCTCGGCGCGCTTTTTGCTCCACGACGACGAGCGCGACTTGTGGTAAGGCCCCAGGGCCTTGAAGTAGACGAACTTGCGGCCGTCCTCGTCCATGGCCAGCCCGAAGGAGTCCTCCTCCAGCTCGCGCTGGTTCTCGCGCCCGCGCGTGCAGAAGTACATGCAGGTCTCGAACCAGACCTTGTTGAGGAGCCCGAAGGGGCTCTGCGTGCTGAAGACGCTGCAGGTGTAGAGCTTGCGCAGGTCGGCGCGCGTGATGGCCTGCTTCTGCACCACCGGCCCGGCGCCCTGCTCCTCCAGCTTGCGGATGACGGCGGCCAGCGTCAGGTTGGCGGCGCGCAGCTCGGGGTCCTTGGTCAGGTCCAGGGTGCGGCAGTAAGGCGGCTCGTTGAGGTAGCGGTTGAGCGAGCTGCGGATGCTGATGAGCGACGACTTGGAGTACAGCTGCCCGCTCTTGGAGCGCGCCTCGGCGTAGAAGGAGCGCAGCACCCGGCACAGCGCCCCCTTGTCCATGGTCTCGAAGTCCGGGCTCTGCGCCTTCTCGCTCAGGTACTCGCGGAAGATGCGCACCGCGTAGCGGGTGGCCAGCCGCGTGTTCTCGCTCAGGCGGGCCCGCTCGGGGCGCTGCAGCAGCAGCTCCGCCTCCGGGTCCGAGTCGTCGGCGGGGCCCGCGGCGGGCGCCTGGCCGGCCAGGGAAGCGGCGGCGGCGGCGGAGGCAGCAGCGCCGCGGGCGCTCACGGGCACCGAGGGGGCGCCCCCCGCCGAAGCCCCGACGACGCCGCCGCTGCTGCCGCCGCCGCCAACTCCCCGGACGCCTCCCAGGCGGCCCCGGACCCCGCAGACGGCCGCCGCCGCCGCCGAGTCCAGCAGCACTCCGGTGCCCTGGTCCATACGGATCATATGGCCCGGCTCCTCCGAGGCGGCCCACTCCAGCCCCATCATCATCATCTCCTCCTCCTCCTCCTCTTCCTCGTCGTCGTCCAGCAGCAGGATCCCTTCCTCGGCTCCCTCCTCGTCCCCCGTTATCTGCACCTCCTGGATCTCATCCTCGTCCTCCCCGTCCTCGTCCTCCCCAGCGCTGCAATAGTGGAGGGGCCGGTGGGGGCCGCCCCGGCCGGGCTGCCGGTCCCCCGCATTGTTCTCGCCGCCGCCGCCACCTGCACCGCCGCCCCCTCCTCCTGCGCCGCCGCCGCCCCCGGTGCTCCAGTCTCCGCCGGCGCCGCCGCTGCCAGGCATTCTCGCCATATTGCCGTCTCCCTGCCAGTCCTCGGGCAGGGCGCATGCGCTATATTGGACCGCAGCGCTGGAGAGCTTTTGTGTTTAATGACCTTCAGCTACCGGGAGGCAAAGCTGGGCTCTTAAAGGGGCCGCGCGCTCCCAGTGGTTGTGGCTGATGTGCGAGGAATGGAGTGGGGAAGCAGGGCTGGAGAGGAGGAGAGGACGGGGAAGAACGAGGGGGAGACCGACCGAGAGGGAGACTCGCCACCGAACAAGGCGCAGCAGCAGCAGCAGCAGCTTGGAAGCCCTCCATCGCCCAGCGTTGCGCTTCGCGCGAGGCGATCGCCATGCAAAGGGTTACTTTATATCGGCCCGTGCATGCACCCGGGAGAAGGGGAGGCTGGGACTGACAGATCCACTCACCCAGCCTCAGCGCGCGGTGCCAGCTGCTGTCCGCTAAGTGATGCCCGAAGAGCAGCCCGGCAGCCCCCACATTCTCATGGCTTACGCGGGGAAGGGGCGATTTACCCCACCACCACCACCACCCACTGGCGGTGCCCACTGGAGGGGTGGGGGTCAGAAGTAGGGAGGGGAGCCCAGCTGCAGTAACAGCGGCAGGTGAGATCGGAGCGAGGGGGGTGGGGGGCAGCAGGCGGCTTTTCGCACAAGGCAGCTCCTCCCTACGGATTCCTGGCAGCCAAGCGCGGAAACGCGGCGGAGGCAGCAGCAGCAGCAGCAGCAGCAGCTTGGAGTTGACTCCGGTAGAGGAGAAACTTCTCGGATCGTCTGCACTTCTCGGCGGCTCTCCCTCCTTCCCACCCCTCCCTCTTCCTCTCCCCGGCCATCCCACCTACCACCCCCCCACCCCCACGCCGCCGCTCCATCCAAAAGGGGGAAGGGGGGGGAGAGAGAAAGAGGCCACTCTGGCTGCATACCAGGCGCGTCGATCTCACGGCGAAGGCATCGAGCACGGCGAAGGCTTCTCCAGCCAGCCAGACACGTTAGGCTGCGGCTGGGATCGGAGAGGGCGAAGCTGGCGGGGAGGCAGCTGACTAGTCCGGAAAGAGCGAAAGCGAGCGAGAGAGAGACCGAGCAGGGGAGCCGGAGCGGGTCCCAGGAGTGCCCTTCGCCGCCGCCGCTGCAGATCTTAGGGGGGCGATGTGGGGAGCCTGCGAGTGGTGCCGGGCCGGCTGTGTACCAAAGAAGGAAGCCCGCTTGTTTCCTGCCTGGCGCTAATAAGCCGAAGGAAGCCAGCAGCGAGGAGCAGAGAGGAAGCCGCCAGGGCTAGTAAAACCCACACAGTCCGCAGCCAAGAGGCAAATCCAGAGCTATTCCCAGCCTGCGGGGACAGGCAGCTGCAACACTCGCGCGCTCACACACACACACACACACACACACACACACACACACAGAGAGAGAGAGAGAGAGAACAGGGGGGAGAGAGGGAGAGAGAGAAGGCACAGCCTAGCCCTGCAGAGCTCAGCCATCAACATTTCTCTTTCTCACATACACGCACAGATCCACCTCCCCCCCTTCTGGCTTCCCGCAATCCTCGAACCATTTGTAGGTTTTCCAGCAGGCATCTTTTCCTCTCCCCCCCCTCTCCTCGCCGCTACCGCACCCCCGGGGCAATACGGGACTTTGCAAGCCCCGGCGCTGCCAAAAGCCGCCCTCAAGTTGAGTAGCCGCTGGAATCCCGTTACCGATTCACGCGCACAGCCGCGCTACAGTTCATTTCCGCCTGCATTTCCAGCTGCCGCAAAGCCTTCCCTAACTTTAAGCGGTTGTTGCGCGGCAGCGGCGCCCTCGATCTTAAGCATTTTGCCGCTTTTATTTCAAAAGGAGAAGATGGGACGCGGGGCAGCGGGGGGAGGGGGGGTTGGCAGTCACGACACCCACAACGAAAGGGAGATGATTCTAAGGCGGGTTTTAGCTAGGGGCGGCCAGACAGTTCTGGGCTGGGGGGGGGGGAGAGAAGCACGTCTGAACTTGCCCAGGCGCTACACGTTGCTTTCTCGGTGAACACAAAGCAGACGGCTCTCGCAAACTTGGCAGTGCCAAACTGACGCCACTGTGTCTTGGCATGGCACTCCTGTGAAGGGAACGAGTACGTTTTCTCTCTTTGCTCACCCACCTCTTTCAATATCGTGCTTTTACCCTGAACAAAATTCTGGGGAAATCTTGCTAAGCTACAGACAAGTCACAACCAGCCATCGCAACATCCCAGATATGATTCACAGATAAGGGCAGAGATGACAGTTTACTGTTGTCCTGATCCCTAAGAAAAAGAGCAGGGAGGTAATACGAAAGCACCAAAGTGCACGCCGGTTTTTTTGTTTTGTTTTTTAAGTGTGAAAGGCATTCCGGGAAAGACGGATAGCAGTCACTCAAAGTAGTTCAAACACCACCACCACCACCACAGTATTGTATGTCTGAAGTCTTCATAATTCCAGCATATGGGATATTGCTCTTTCTGACCCCTACCCAGGCCTCCCAAATTCGATGGGCTTACCTGTGCCCCCCCCCCCGCAATATTTTATTCAAGTTGCCACCCATGAACAGGAATAAGTGACATTTTGCGGAAAGCACTGTATTGCCACGGGATATATATTTTTAAAAAATGGTTTAGAAATTATTGTCATGCTCTATTATCTTCCTGCACGGCAGGACGAGATGGTTGGACAGTGTTCTTGAAGCTACCAGCATGAGTTTGACGGGAGTTGCGGGAGGCGGTGGAGGACAGGGGTGCCTGGCGTGCTCTGGTCCATGGGGGTCACGAAGAGTCGGACACGACTAAACAACAACAACAACAACAACATTATCTTCCTACCACGAGTTCTCCATCCCTAAATTATGTAGTAATTGTCAGTGAGGTCAAAGCCATACTGCCCCGATTCTGAAGCCCAGACCCGTGCTAGCAATACCAGAATATAGAGATGTAGAATGACACATGTAAGCATGCATCCCATCAACAACATTAATACATGTACTCCTATGTGCATTCCAATGTTCAACAACCCAGCTTGATGCTCCTCATTTTCACCCACTGGTAGCTTCACTGCCAATGTGGCAAAAGAGGAAGTGTCAGCCTTGTTGCTAAGGCAACAGGGTCAAACTTCCTCCTTCCATAAATACTTGCATGCCCTTTCAAATACACCCCCCCCCTTATCAAAATGAGAAAGTAGTTTTGGAGAATGCAAAAATATCCATGACATTTGATCTCCAAGTATTGCTCAGAAAACAGGCTGGCTTTCTTGTGGGGTGGGGTGAGGGGAAAGAACCTATTTGTTGTTACCTTATTCCAGAACATTTGGTTGGCTACCCATCTCTTACATTCTACAATTACACTGTCATGCCAGCCAATAGCTTCCATATTGGGATAATCATAAACTTGAGCCAATGCACCATTGGATGGTGAGTGGAAGCACTCCTGTGACCTCTGGTTGTCTGTATTGCTGCTGCATACTGGGAGGCGGTTAGTGAGCTTAGTGTGGTGCAAATGAACTAGCAGGAGTGTCAGATTGACTCCACCTGACCTTGTTGCTGCCTTAGCCCCTCCCCACTCCATCCCAGTATGGAGGAACAACATGGATGGCCAGCGATCAGATGAATGCCACTGATCCACCCTGCAATTGGCTACTATGTCAGTGGTCTTTCTATCTGTCTGGATATCTGTCAGTCCGGAAGGCAAACTGGTGCCCTCCAGATATTTTGGACTACGCCTCCCATCATTCCTAACAATAATTGGAGTCTAGCAACATCTGGCAACTTTCCATAGTCAAATAATACATACTTCCGTCAAAATAAGAAAATGCAAAACCTTGGATTTTGAATCTGATGAAACTTACTCCAATTTTTCAAAAACGACAACCACCTCACAATAAAGGTACTATTTTGCTGTCTAAAAACACCCTGTTTCTTTATTAGCACAGTCCGTTTATGTTTGCATGAACTGGCAGTATTAAATGTCATGTAAGGAAAATGACTATTTTTGTAGCTGGCCCAAATAATTTGTTACACAGCAGATCAATTACTGGATTTCCTAAAGTGATCACTTTCAGAGGTACAGAGGAGAATGTCTTTTCTGTGGTGGCACTGTATGCCAACATAGTGTCAGTTCTGCTTAGTTTGGGGGTTCAGGTCAAAACAGTTAATTTCAACAAAAGTTTTTAATTGAACAATGATTTTTTTAATATAGCTGCTTCTCACATTTTTGTGCTATTCTGTCTGCTATCTTGCTTTATGCTGCTCCCCCCCCCCATTTTATTATTGTGATGATGATTATTTCATTGGTTGCTATTTTGCAGTTTGATATTTAATTTTGTATGCTGCCCTGTGAGTTTTGTACTTTATTGTTGTCTTTTTTATATACTGCTGTTTGTACTTAAATTGGAAGGTGGATGTAAACATATTTAATTGTAATAATACATTATTGGGGTTCACCGCAGTTTCATCACTCTCCTTTTATAAATTACGATCCTGTAACACTGTCTGTGTGGGTGTGGGGAAAGATCTGGTACACTGCTATCACTTGGCAAATGTTTGGGTTGAAATACTTTGTGGAATAATTTGATTGCAAGTCTTTAGTTCAAAGGAGATGCTTGCAAGCCTGTTGTTAAAACAAGCAAATAACACTTATCACTCTCTCAGCCTTGGAAAAACACAGTGTTGCAATTAAACATTGCAGGTGCACATTGTACCCATTAACACATCCTGGAAGAAGATGTATCGGGTTATTTCAAGTCATTTGCTACAATCTGTTGAAGCATTTAACCCTTTCTGTAGCTCAGCCTGATACGTAGGATGCTGCCCTAAACCAAATAAGACCACTGATCCATTTACGGTAACTCAGTACAGTGGTACCTCGGGTTATGAACTTAATTCGTTCTGGAGGTCAGTTCTTAACCTGAAACTGTTCTTAACCTGAAGCACCACTTTAGATAATGGGGCCTCCCACTGCCGCCATGCCGCCGCTGCGCAATTTCTGTTCTCATCCTGAAGCAAAGTTCTTAACCCGAGGTACTATTTCTGGGTTAGCGGAGTCTGTAACCTGAAGCATCTGTAACCCGAGGTACCACTGTACTGAACTGGCAGCAGATTTCCAGGTGTCCGGCTGGAGTCTCTCTCAGCCTTATCTTGAAACTCAAGGGACTGAACCTCTGAACTTCTGATTGCAAGTGTGCACTCTGCTGTGGAGTTATAGTTCCCTTGCTATTTGTTAATCCATCTCTAGGAATACAGAGAAGGCTCCCTATCAAACATTCAAGGGTTCTTATTTCACTAGACCAGTGTGAGTTAAAAAACCCCCAAACAACTACAAGACATTACTAGTTTGCTATAAAATCACTGATGTTAGATGTGTGCATGGCCCCCAAAGCGGTTTGTTCATGATGTTAGGTGACAAGAAGCCATGGTGA